GCAATGGCGCAACCGATTCTGCTGCTGACGCATCCGGGCTCTCCTAGGACCTATCGGAACCCCTCTTGGGGCGTCTTGGGGGCATCTTGGGCTGGGTGGACGCCGTACATGCTTGGCATCGCTCGGACGTGTGCATTTTTCCTTCGGCGAGGGCCATCGAGGAGCATCCTTGATCATTTCGCGAAAAAACCACGCACGAAACCGAAAAAAAAACACAGGAAATAGACGTCCGAGCGATGGCCAGTGGGCCGTCTCGGAGCCGTCCTGGGCCGTCTCGGAGCCGTCCTGGCCTCCTTGGGGAGGCCACGCCGGACCGTCTCGGAGGCCACCCCGCCCCCCCCTCGGCACGCCGCCGTCGAGGGCCCCCCTCCTCCTCCTCCTCCTCCTCCTTCTCCTCCTCCTCCGCCTCCTCCTCTTCCTCCTCCTCCTCCTCCTCCTTCCTTCTCCCGCTCCCCCCCCGGACCAGTGGAGGCTCCCACACACATTACAGTCAGCGCGCATAGGGAGGACGCGCCGCCCTTTACAGGGTGCCCTCGTGTCCTTGCCCCTGCGGCCCGTCCTTTACCGTTTCCGTTGGGGTTTTGCGCGCCCGTTGCCCAACAAATCCCAACCTCGGCCTCCAAGGGTCTTGCGCCCGTGCCACCCGTCCTTAATATACGTTTCCGCTGTAGAGCACAATTGTCTCACATGTCGAGCAGAGAGCGCTGCACTGACCGAGCAGGCACCTTTCCATTTTTCCTTGAGAGAGTACCCAAGTCAGCCGCCGGAGGTCGAGTGGGGCTTCCCCAGCGGCGAGCCTGTGGAGGACGCGGCGAAGGCGGAGGCTGCTCGCGTGGGTGGGGCGCTTTGCCCCGTCCCCCCTCCGCTACAGAGCGAAGGGGCCATGAGCAAGAGGAGGTGGAGGAGGAATGGGTCGGACGAAAGTCGGAGGAGAAAAAGGTACCCATACCGCTAGCCGCTAGCCTTCGTAAGTTCTCTCTTGTTTGACCCAGGCCCTCGTCGCCACCATGGGACAGGTCTGGGGATTGGTGGTATCGGTACCCAGTGAGTTCCCCAAAAAGGGGGGGAACGGGAAATAGGGGTCTAAAATCTGTTGCATGCAACCCGTTTCGGCCCCGCCGACGGGCGCATTCCTCGATACAGTGACGCCTCTAGCGCCAGAAGTCGCTGGGAAAACCGGCTACGTTAGTTGATTCCTATCTTCTTCCCCCGTACGATCACCCCCTTTCGTCCGAACCGAGAGGAGGAGGGGGAGGAGGAGGAGGAGGAGGAGGAGGAGGAGGAGGAGGAGGAGGAGGAGGAGGAGGAGGTTGAGAGACGGACGGAGAAATGAGGATGACGATAACGATGACTGTGACGATGGCGATGGCGATGGTGATGACGATAAGAAAGATGATGATGATGATGATGATGATGATGATGATGATGATGATGATGATGATGATGATGATGATGATGATGATGATGATGATGATGATGATGATGATGATGATGATGATGATGATGATGATACTGATGATGATAATGATGATGATGATGATGATGATGATGATGCGGATGCTGATGCGGATGCTGATGCTGATGCTGATGCTGATGCTGATGCTGATGTTGCTGATGATGATAATGATGCTGCTGGTGATGAAACTGATGATGATGGTGATGGTGATGATGAAGACGAGGATGGGGATGCTGATGATAATGAGGATGGTGATGATGATGAGGGGAGAAGGAGGAGGATACTCATGCTGATGATGAGGATGATGATTGTGATGGTGATTGTGATGGTGATGGTCATGGTCATGATGCTGTTGATGCTGATGGTGATGATGAGGACGATGATGAGTATGATGATGATGCTGATGATCAGGATGCGGATGATGCATCTGATGATTATCATGATGGTTATGCTGGTGAGGATGATGAAGATGATGAGGATGAGGCTGCTGCTAAGGATGATGATTCTGAAGGGCCCTATACGGAGGAGGGGGGTGGAGGAGCAGGAACCCTAGAGGCATTGCCTTCTCCTTTGCCTCCTGCTCCTCTGCCCTCCCGCTGCCGCGTACCTCCTGCTCATCGCCCCGCTCCCTCCTCTGCGCCCTTCCGCGCCTCCCCCTCTCCCTCCAACCTGGAGGGGCGCCGCGGCGTCTGGGGCGGCGCGTCGGGGCCCCCGGGGGGGGAGGGAACGTCCTACCTGAGCTCGACTTCTCTCTGAGTTCGCCCTATGCCGGGCCCTTCGGCAGCTCGATTACGTGTGCCCCGCACCACTCTGGACGCCCGAAATGGGTACCGAAAGAATGGGTACGATGCCCAACAGCAGTTCCTGTTCATTCTGAACAGGATTCGCTGCCCACGCCGCCGCGGCCTGTGTCCATTCGAGACAGAAGGCCGCTGCCCAACAGCGGCCGCTGTTGGTTCGGGACAACATTTGTTGTTGGGCATGTTGCCCATTCTTTCGGTACCCATTTCGGGTGTCCAAACGTGTGCCCCGCACCACGCGAGGGTGGTATGCCCGAGTCCCCCGTGCCCCCGGCCCACGGCCTCCGGGCGTCCGTCGACCTTTCACCGTGGTTCTGCACCCCCGGTCCTCCCTCCGCACGGCGCACCCGCATCCGATTCGGCTCATCCCTCCCTCGCTTCGTGGCCCCCTAGGGAGCCTCACCGAAGGTCCCAGCGGCAGGGTCCGCATGGCGTGCCCACCCGATTCGGCACACCCCTCGCACGTTTCGTGGCCCCGAGGGGAGGTCCACCGAATACCTCAGCGGCAGGGTCCGCATGGCGTACCCGCACCCGTTTCGGTACACCCCTCACGTTTCGTGGCCCCGAAGGGGGCTCCACAGAAGGCCCCAACGACCAGCGACAGGTTCCGCATGGCGTGCCCGCATCCGGTCCGGTACATCCCTTACACGTGCCGTGGCCCCATAGGGAGCATCACCGAAGGCCCGAGTGACAGGGTCCGCATGGCGCACCCGCCCCATGTTGGCACACCCATCACTCCTCCCCCCCTTGTGTCTTCTAATTTGCCTCGCGGTACCCGCAGCTTCATATGGCGCGGGCCCTTCGCCATGGTAATTTCAAAAGAGCCGTGATCGATTCGTGCAGGTGGTTGCACCTTGTTCGTGTAGCACATTGCATCCACCAGCAGGATGAGCCACCTGCCTAAATCGATGCATACTTGTCCCTGCTCGACGACACGAGAATACGATCATGCCGTTTGGCAGACACCGAACATGACATGTATGGCAACATTACAGGTGACTGTACTTCGTGCGTCACATCTCTGGCGAATCGCCCCGCCGCCGTTGCTGGTGTGCGACGAGGAAGAGCAGGGCATATGGCCATGGGGTGATCAGGAAGACGAGGGAGCAGCGATGCAGGAGGGAGGCATCGGGCGTGACGGGGGAGCAGGGGGCTGCGGAGGAGGGCGGTGGCGGGGCGGGGGGGCGGTGGTGAGGGGCCGGGCCGAGGGTGGGGGGGGGGGGGGGGGGGGGGGGGCGGTTACATGGTGGCGGGGGGGGGGGGGGGGGGGGGGGGGGGCGCGGCGGGCGCGGGGGGCGGTCGGGGGGGGTGGCGGCGGTGCGGTGGGGGGGGGGGCGGGGGGGTGGGGGGGGGTGGCGTGGCGGGTTTCGGTGTTGTGCGGTGCAAGGGGTGTGTTTTTTTCGGGCTTTGGGTGGTGGAACGGCGTCGTGTGCCGGTCCCGGAAATAGCCGCGCGGTGCGCATGCGGTGATGTGCGCCACTGTGTTTTGGTGTGGATTTGGTTTTTGGGGTGTTCGGGTCGAGTTGGTGCAGGTGTTTTGGGAGGTGGGTTTTTTGTGGAGTTGCGTGGTGTAGGTTTTCTGTTCGATTTTTAAGGGAGGTGCGCACCGTTGGGGTGGCTGGGGTGTGCTAGGTTGCATTGCAAGAGCGATGCGTGCCGAGGCCTGGATCGAGGAGACGGGGCCCCGTCGGCATCCCCTCCTCCCCCCTTCTCTTCTTCCCTTCGGCGCTTCCCCGTCAGGAGCAGATTCCCCTGGCTCGCCTTGCGACCCTCCCCTCCCCCGCGCCAGTCCGCCGTTCGCCCCTCGCACTCGGGGGCGGGGAAGGGGGGGGGGGAGAGCAGGGCAGCCAAGTGCTCCTGGGGGGGGAGGACAGGGGCGCAGGGGCCGAGAGAGCAGACGGGGCGGCAGGGAGCAGGCGAACGCAGAGCAGGGACCCATCTCGCTGTCCGTTTCTCTCTCTCCCTCTCTCGCCCCCTCTCTCTCTCTCACCCTCTCTCTCTCTCTCTCTCGCGTAACCTGATAATTCCGAACTCCACTCCAGGGTCGCCCCCGAGGGGCGCGACGTGAGTGGCGCTTCGCGCGCCGCGGCCGGGGCTGGGCAGCTGCCTTCCTCCATGGGGGCGGCGTGGGAGCGCGCTGATGACCGCTTCGCGGGGCGCGGGGCGCGATGCGCGGAGCTCGGCTCATGCAGGGAGTCAGTGAGAGGAGGCAGACGACGAGGGCGGGCACCTTCTACGTTTGAGTGTCGTGTGCCTGCGGTGGCCTCCGCCGCGTCACGGCTTCAATCCAGTCTGGGGGCCGCAGTCACGAGAGAGTAGACCTGCGAGCAAGTACTTCGATCGATTGTGTGAACAAGCCCGAGGGGTCAAAGGAGGAGGAGGAGGTGGAGGAGGAGGAGGAGTAATGTGAGAGGAGGATGAGAAGGCGTGTGGAGGATCAAGGGGACACAGATACTGATGACTCGTGGTGAGGATGTGGAGTTGGGAATTATCAGGTTACGTGAGAGAGAGTGAGGGGGACAGAGGGGGGGCGAGAGAGGGAGAGAGAAACAGAGAACGGTATGGATAGAGAGAGAGATGCAGAGAGACAGAGAGAGAGAGAGAGACATGTGAGTGCATGTGCATACGTGCATGTGCATCGAACATATGTACCGCGTCTGTCCTCATCTGCTATTCTCGCTCGTGATCTTCGATGTGGGTGCCACATGCTCGTGCTCGCTTCTCCGACGGGGCCTCTTGAGCAGGCCAAGATCAAGAGGTTCGCCATGTTCTTCGCGGCAGAGCTGACGGGCTTCTGTGCATTCCTTGGCGGGGTAGCCGCCCAGGAGGTAATCAAGAAGACTGGCAAGTTCACGCCAATTGAGCAATGGGTCATTTCTCTGTTGTTATTTGCCTTCTCATGCTGACAGTCCTCTGCGGTGTATTGTTCAATCTCTCTCTCTCTCTCTGCCGCTATCTTTCCGTCTGTATGTCTCGCCCCCTCCCTCTCCCACCTTCACTGTCTCTGCATCATAATGGTTTGCTCTCCTCTCTATCTCTTTTCTCTCTCTCTCTCTGCCTCTGCAAATCTCTCTCTCTATATCTATACGCAGAGTGAAGGGGGCCGAACGGTCATTCATTGTCCGTGGGTTCGTGGCTAAAGTGAGAATCCGTGGTGAGGATTTTGATTGTTGTGTTGTTGAGTTTTCATTCCTGAAGAATATTTATTGTTGATCCCCCCTCATCGGTGCATGCGTTTTTTTCTCAATCAAAGTGTGTCCTTCGACGTTCGCACTTGTTTTTTTTCCTAACAGCTTTTGCTGATAGGTTTCTAGTAGGGTCAAAAGAGAGCATCATGCCTCCTCAGGGGGGTCTGGGCGGGTGCCGGGGAAGAGAACCGGGAATCGTTTTTCCCTAACAGTCACACACTTCGTGCTCTTCGACCTCCCAGAACTCCATTCCCTGGCCACATTCTGGAGAACCGGGAACAGAGCCGGGCTCGCTTTTCGTCAACAGTCACACACTTCGTGCTCTTCGACCTCCCAGAACTCCATTCCCGGGCTACATTTTGAGTGCCCGGGGCCAACTGTAGGCCACTTCGTGCTCTTCGAGTTCCCAGAACTCCATTCCCGGGCCACTTTTGGATGCCCGGAGCGAACTGTAGGCCACTTCGTGGTCTTCGAGTTCCCAGAACTCCATTCCCGGGCCAGATTTTGGATGCCCGGAGCCAAATGTAGGCTATGTTTTTTGCTGCTTTTTTTTCTTTCTTTTGTTTTTTTGTTATGTTTGTTTTATTTTTTTCTTTTTTTTGTTATTTTTTTTTTTTTTTTTTGCTTCGTTTGCTCTTCAAGTTCCCAGGAAAACTCACTTTCTGGCCTGATTTTGAATGCGGAGCCAAATGTCGGCACACTTCGATGTTCTTCTAGTTCCCAGAACTCCATTCTGGGGCAACATTTTGAATGGCTGAGGCTGGGATATGCATGCGGCCGAGCAGGCTGAGGCTGAGCAGGCTGAGCCGGGAGGCTGAAGGCAGACTGAGGATGAGGCTGGCGAGGCAGACTGAGGCTGGGCTGAGGCTGGCTGATGCTGAGGCTGAAGCAGGCTGATGCTGAAGGCAGGCTGAGGCTGAGGTGAGGTGATGCAGGCTCGAGCTGAGGCAGGCAGGCTGAGGCTGAGGCCGAGGCTAAAGGCAGACTGAGGCTGAGGCTGAAGCAGGCTGAGGCTGAGGCTGAGGCAGGCTGAGGCTGAGGCAGGCTGAGGCTGAGGCTGAGGCAGGCTGAGGCTGTGGCTGTGACTGCGACTGCCGTTGCCACTGCGACTGTCATCGCGAATGCGACTACGACTGCGAGAACAGCAGAATTCTACAACTGGATTTGCATTTGAATCTTAAGGGGAATGCTTTCAGATATGCTTCTACATATCGCTGTTAGGTTGCTTTGCCGGGATAATTTGACATGGAAGGTCATGGTGCTCAAACTGTGCCCCTGACCCCCCCCGGATTACAATAACGGTTCCCGCTTGAGACTTCCTCCAAATTTAGTAGGACGCCCGCTCCCGAGACTTCCTCACAATTTACTCAGGATCGGTGCTCCCGCCTGTGACTTCCTCGCAAGTTAGTCAGGACCCCCGCTCACATCGGATACTTCCTTACAGTTTGCTCAGGAACAGCGCTCCCGCTTGAGACTTCCTCGCAACTGAGTAAAGACTTCTTCGCAATTTGAGCAAAGCCCTCGCTCCCGCCAGAGAACCCCTTCACATGTTATTCAGGAGTGCCGCTCTCGCCTGCGACTTCCATGCGATTTATCCAGAAATCGCGCTTTCGACGCTCAGGAAACACGCTGCGCCAAGGACGCCGTCACAATTTACTTGGTGATCGCGCTCTCGCCATACTCAGGCTTCCCGCTTGACTGTCCCACCCGCCCGACCCGCCCGACAGGGGATCGCCCGCCCGTCGTGGGCTCCTGCCCGAGACTTCCTTCAGGAATGGCGCTTTCGCCTAGCATTTCCTCGAACGTTCACGCTCTCACCTTCCTGCTTCCTGCTACTCCTTCCTCTCCCTCCTCCTGCCTCCCTCCTCTCCTCCCTTCTCTCTCCTGCCTCTCTTCCCTCATCCTTATGCCTGTCTGCCCTATACCCTCTCCGTCCTCTCCCTCCTCACTTTTCCCTCCCCTTATCCTGCCTCCCTCTTTTTTTTGTTTTTCTCTCTCTCTCTCTCTCTCTCTCTCTCTCTATATATATATATATATCCCACCTCTCTCTCTATTTCTCTACCTCTCTTATATGTTTTGTTATCTCTCTCTCTCTCTCTTTCTCTCTCTTTCGCTCTCTCTGCCTCCAATCAACTGCCTCCCTCTTCGCTCCTTCTCTCCTTGCGTTTTCCCTCTTCCTTCGTCCCTCCCCCCTCCTTCCTCCCACTTTCCCTCGTTCTCCCCCTGCTATTTTTGCAGGGCCCACACGAATTTCAATGGCGGGCACATGTACGCCCACGAAGGACCGTCCGCCCGTTCAGGTTTGCCCGCCTATCTACGCCCGCCGGCCCCCGCAAAGAGAAATAATTCCCCCAAAGGGGGTTGTGATCGAAAACAAAAAAGGGCGGGTATCGAGGGTGTGGGGAATCCGTTTCGAATGACGCACGGGCAAGTAAGAGCGAACAGTCTTATAATGATTGAACATTATTACTTCTAAAGAATAATTATTGTTGGGGCCCCTGGTGCACGACCCCCCCGCCGCGCCTAGGCCGCAGCCTCATTTTCATCACTTTCGTGAGGAAGTCTCAGGCAAAACGGGTTGGTCCGGATCCGGTTGTGTTGTTACGATCGGTTTTCCTTGCAAAAAATAAGCTAAAGTGGACATTTCTTGTTCTAACATAACCAAACTTCAAGAATCCCTTGCAAAAAATAAGGTAAAGTGGACATTCGCGCGCGCAAGACGAAATCCTTCCAAAACCTTAGTTTTCGTAGCGATTTTAACATAAAAACATCAAATAACCAATGGTTTTTCAAAAAAAAAATGTCAAAATTTCATCCCGCGCGCTCTTGCGGATTCGTAGGAAACCCAACATTTTTTAATCATTTCTGTCAAACGGGCTTTTGCGAGCAACTTTTTCGAACTTCTGCAACAACGGTTGCGCACCTGCCAGGGCCATCATCCCTGTCAAATAATACCATGCGGGACACATTCGTTTTTTCTTCGCGCGCGCACGCCGTCGTCGTCGGCCGCGGGGCCCTGAATAGTAGCCACGGTCGTCCGCATGCCACGAAGTGAAGTGTCCGAACGTCATAGGGCGGGAAGCTGGGTGTGGGTGGTGGCGAAGAGTCGTTTGGAAATTTGGTAGAGCTTGAACCGGCCCCCCCACAAAGTGGGGGTATTGCCCGCCTCCTATGAAAACCCTGGCACTGGTGAGAACGGAGTGTCCCCACGTGCTAGTAATTGTTGTTGTTGTTGTTGTTGTTGTTGTTGTTGTTGTTGTTGTTGTTGTTGTTGAACATTATTACTTCTAAAGAATAATTATTGTTGGGGCCCCTGGTGCACGGCCCCCCCGCCGCGCCTAGGCCGCAGCCTCATTTTCATCATTTTCGTGAGGAAGTCTCAGGCAAAACGGGGGTCCGGATCCGGTTGTGTTGTTACGATCCGTTTTCCCTTGCAAAAAATAAGCTAAAGTGGACATTTCTTGTTCTAACATAACCAAACTTCAAGAATCCCTTGCAAAAAATAAGGTAAAGTGGACATTCGCGCGCGCAAGACGAAATCCTTCCAAAACCTTAGTTTTCGTAGCGATTTTAACATAAAAACATCAAAAAACCAATGGTTTTTCAACAAAAAAATTGTCAAAATCTCATCCCGCGCGCTCTTGCGGATTCGTAGGAAACCCAACACTTTTTAAACATTTCTGTCAAACGGGCTTTTGCGAGCAACTTTTTCGAACTTCTGCGACAACGGTTGCGCACCTGCCAGGGCCATCATCCCTGTCAAATAATACCATGCGGGACACATTCGTTTTTTCTTCGCGCGCGCACGCCGTCGTCGTCGGCCGCGGGGCCCTGAATAGTAGCCACGGTCGTCCGCATGCCACGAAGTGAAGTGTCCGAACGTCATAGGGCGGGAAGCTGGGTGTGGGTGGTGGCGAAGAGTCGTTTGGAAATTTGGTAGAGCTTGAACCGGCCCCCCCACAAAGTGGGGGTATTGCCCGCCTCCTATGAAAACCCTGGCACTGGTGAGAACGGAGTGTCCCCACGTGCTAGTAATTGTTGTTGTTGTTGTTGCTGTTACTGTTGCTGTTGCTGTTGTTGTTGCTGTTGCTGTTGCTGTTGCTGTTGCGATTGAATTCCTTCGTTCGAAAACATAATTATTGTTGATCCCCCTCACCGGCGCATGCTGGTTTTTTTCTCAATCAAAGTATGCCCCTCGACGTTCGCACCCCGTTTTCGGTCAGGGAAAGTCTTCCTGCTCAAACTGAGCCCCTGGCCTCCCCGGATGACAACAACAACGGCTCCCGTTTTAGACGTCTTCTTCATTTTCTCAGGACCCCCGCTCCCAGCTGAAACTGCTTCACAATGTATTCAGAATCGGTACTCCCGCTTGCGACTTCCTCGCAGGTTAATCTCGACCCCCGCTCCCATCGGAGATTTCTTCACAATTTACTCAGGAACGGCGCTCCCGGTTGAGATGTCTTCGCAACTGAGTACAGACTTCCTCGCAATTTGAGCAAAGCCCTCGCTCCCGCCAGAGAACCCCTTCACATGTTATTCAGGAGTGCCGCTTTCGCCTGTGACTTCCATGCGATTTATCCAGGAATCGCGCTTTCGACGCTCAGGAAACACGCTGCGCCAAGGACGCCGTCACAATTTACTTGGTGATCGCGCTCTCGCCATACTCAGGCTTC